CAGTTGATGCAGTAAGTCATGAACAGGCTTGCAAAATAGAAGAGTACTACTATGTATGCGCGACTACTCCGCCACGATTCGCAAGGAAAGTTGCAATAGATTTTATGTAAGCCCGCATATCGTAGAGCATCTTGTTTGCAATTGTTGCCGTGAAGGTGAGTTCAGCAGAGCCCAGCATACAAGTGGTCTTGTACTGAAAAAGATCAGCATCATCATTACGCACGAATGATTAAAAATGTAGAGGCAAAATTTTCATGATGCCGGCACAGAAGTCAAGTTCCCACAGAAACCACGAGGACTCGAGAATAATTGGTAGAATGTGATATGGATAAGTTATGGTTTGAAGTAGACTTGCAATAGATCTTCGGATGAGAGTCGATTAGGGGTCAGCATACGTGATATCCATCTCCTGTCAGATGCGCTTAGCATCTGCAACTGGTAAGGACGCTGGAAATGAAGAGTACGCTGTAAAGTACCATGTTCTTCTCCTATACCATACTATATCTTCCATTATTGCAATAAAAGCCGTAGGATAATTTGATGCAGAGAAAGTAATTGCACAAATGCATTGGTAGTATCGCTGCGTCCAGGCATCGGCCTGAGCGTATACATTCTGATATCCTATTTTGCGTTTATGTCGAGCAGTTGCGGAGAAATATAACTTCCCGGTTAAAATGTTCAGCGAGACAAGTCGCTTCAAGCGTCATCCAAGGACCCATTGATTTAAAATGGTCTGGCAATTCACCCCTGCTCGAATCATGTACGCTACTATCCCCTATCATGAGATTTCGGAGATATGGTAGGTCCGGGTTTTACCAATTCCTATGAGACATTACCAGTAAGACAGTGGCTATTATGGCAGGTAGAAGAACACGTTGACAACGCGAACCTTCAATGAGACCCCTCTTCCTTTCTTTAATTCTGCATGTTGTGCATTGTACGCGCAAATAATGAGAAGTTCATCTTCAAACTACTGAATCGAGACTTCAGGTGGTCTTACCATATTATCCAGGCAAGAGGACTACCGAACTTGTCATCTTTCGCTTGCCTCATTATTTCTATCAAGTTCACCCATAACAAGGAATGAAATGGTGTAGTATTGTAACGATAATGCGAGGTAATAGGCTTTGAAAATCAGATACCCTGCTTGTACGGCACTCAACGTTTTACCCTTGAAGTGAAGTCTTCAGAAATCGTAGTTAACTAACATTCCTCATGTTTTCACCAAAGCTCTCACGACAGTCCCGAATTATATCACATATGACGAGACGGGGTGGATTGAGAGATGAAATTGCTGGGAAATTTTTCTGGAGCCGAACGATGAGAAGAGAAGGATCTTTGATTGGCTTCAAATCTTCATCTCGTATATTTGACAAGTCCTAATCAATGACTTCTTCTCTAGTATGACAAATGAGCGACTAATGCGCCTGGAGACGTCTATGACAAGGATATTTTCAGTTGCCGCACACCCATTATAATTCGCCGCGCTTCTGAGTGCGCCTGATAAAGCCGAGTAGTGGTCGGCACAGCAAAGTACATGCAGCAATATCAGCAGGCGGGCGGATACACGCGACAGAGCAGCGGTGAGGCCGTCTTGTTTAGGACTAGTCTGATGAAGATGGAGAAAGATGCGGTGTATTTGTATAAGCACTTCGCATCACTTGGCTTTGAGCCGTCTTTTGATCTAGCTCTGAAATTTACCGTGGCGACGACCTCGAATGGTCGAATCAGGATGATTTGTGCGACATATGATTTTGGTGCTCGAAACATTAGTGTCGGGCAGTCAGTTAAGCTCATAGGAGTAAGAGATAAGCACCGGGCCCATCAAACATCAAGGGCTATCATCTAGAAGAATCTTCCATTGATGACCAATCAATTCTGAGTATGAGTAGTGGTGGGAATTGCCATGTTACGGGCCGGGTGCTGTGTGCAGAAGCGCAGTTGCAGTTGATCCACCTCCTGCCGTGCCCTAAACAATGGCTTACTAAGCCCTACTCTAGCCCATGTTTCGGCTTCCTCGGAGCAAGTAGTGTAGCGGGTCATTAGCGCGCCAGGATTCCTATTGACGCCGTGTCTTCAATCCGCTAGGACTGTAAACGATTCGAGCACTGCTACCTGTCGCTTGATTCATATCGTAATCTCTGCTAATTTTTCGGCCGGGTGTGCAGATATCTATCGTTCCGTCACTCGAAGATTTCTCTGCTGGGATGTAAGTGGGGTCTGACAAGGAATGAAATCTTTGTCTGTTTGTTGAATTTATTTGAATTATTTGTGCCAGGCTCATCAAAGTTTGTCGCCCCTTGAACTCCATCCGCCAGGACACCAGAGGAGGTCATCTCCATCCCCAGGTGTTGCATGCAAGTAATAGCTGTTACATTTAAGGCCACTCCACACAGTTGCCTTTATTCGTTGGAGTTGCGGTCCAGGTTTATCTGCCGGGACACGCACCGTCTAGTCAACAACGGAAACCTTCAAGGGAGAAAGTCCGAAAGGCCTAAAACGTCTGTTACATGTCCACTAAATCAAATCCAGCAGAATGGCTCTCCACCGCTCGCCATTTTGCCACATTGCCACCTTGCCGTCTTGAAGACGCTGAATTGTGTGTGTGTGTGTTTATTGTACTACTTGAGTCTTAGACTATCTAGCGCATCGGGCTCCTCTCTGACCCAGGCCACACCTTGTACAGCGCTCCTATCCTCTTTTTGTTAAAAGATCATTGGGATATTGCCCGTGATGAATAGCCATTCAGCTCGATATTTACCCGTGGAATTCAGCCACATTTTCCAAGGGACCTTCTACTTGGAAAAATAAAAGTGGTAGCAATGGAAACTGCGTGCGCGGGAAGAAGTCTCAAAAACAAGCAGCCCCAGCCAGGCGAGGCCTAGACGCCGGGACCACTGAGGTGCGCATATTCATCTATATCTCCCTCCTATGTAACATTCGAGACCAACTTGATCCAATCCACCATCTCCGTATCGAGTGCTGGGTACGCTCCGGAAACTCATCGGATGGCTTCTCCTCCATGATCAAGGGTAGACGATCTGTAGGGCTTCGACCCTACTATCTGATCTGATCGTAGTTAGCTTCATGATATGGTGATAGGGGAATGTGTTGGGAGATGAAGACGATATAGAGGGCAAAAGCAATTGGGAATCCTCATCGAAGTTAAGACTTTGTTGCTTAATCTTGGCTCTGCAGACTCTACAGTGAGAGTTGGAGGGTCGTAGGGGACACCACTGACAGGTGATGAGGATAGTCCCCTGAGAAGACGCTGAAGTAGCTGTCCTAATGGTATACCATAGCACTATCCACGCGAAAACTAGTAACGCGTATCGGCGAAACTAACATTTAGTACATTCGCCGTCATGTAATCCACCAGGACGCTCAACAATCGGCCAATAATTGAGATTCAGCACAAAAATTCGAATCTAACCTGCCCATTCAGACAAGAGAAACCTTTCACCACTCCAGGCAGTCCCAGAGGCTCAGCCGTACGAGACACAATTTTGCACTAGTACACCCCGAGCTGATGCTTTGGAGGAGGTAAAACATCTTTCTCTAAGTTGCTACCTAATGCGTTGTGCATTTGAACAAACATCCAAAAATTCTTCCATGAGTATTGCTGATCGACGCTCTCGTTGATTGACCTACGCAGGGATCGAACCTGCAATCTCTTGATTCGTAGTCAAGCGCCTTGCCATTGGGCCAGCAGGCCTTTTGTATGCCACACATAATTTGAAAATTATAATCTCAATCTACTTCTTCCTTTGACATCACCTACACAACAAGAGCCCGGTCGAGAGGCTATGACAGAATCATGATCAGCTTTGGGAAAGGAGTTTGAGATCCTGATTTTTATTTTGAAATATTGAGTCTATCTAGACGCCAACACGTTTGATGGTATTATATCCATAACTATACGTCGCGCCTGTGCGCAGCACCCATTTTTTATATCACCTGACGGTTATTCAGTCAGGAAAAGGCTACCCTGGTTTTTGGCGTCCTCAGACCTATACCTCCTATGATGTGTAGAACATACCATTTAGCGTCTTCCTTTCAATGTAAATGGTACAAAGAATCGAGCTCTTCCACTGGGTCACTTTAGGTTTACCCAGTAAAAAGTATACAATTTTACGATTTATGAGGGAAGTACTTGTTAGATAAGACAGCGTGCTGAGTAGATTTAATAGGCCTGCGCTGACCGGTACTTGAAGCATTCACGCGCTGTTTGCAGGGACGAAGTTAATTACTATCAACAAGTAAATAAAAATCCAGTGAAGTAGTGAGATCCTCAGTCAAGATGTTATCGTGCAGTGCGAGCAACCAGCAGAGGGAAACATGGTACAAAGCTCTAGTCATAGTAGCTCTAGTTCCTACTAGAGGGAAAAACATGCAAATTTAATGCGAACAATCACACGATTTTTCTAGAGCTAATTATTAGATAAAAGGTCTAATGGTCCAGCGGTAAGCTTCCCAGGTTGGGCTTCCACATATCACCCAAGACAGAAGAGCACTAGTTCAGTCCCGACAAGGCTTGCCCAATCTCGCTTAAGTAGATATGATTAGAGTAAGATAGAATTCAAGTACCCGCTGGGCCTATAACAGTACGGAACCGGTAAAGCTACATCAAGAGTTTTGGGCATATTAAATTGGATATTAAATCTCTTCCTTGTGTTTTGATAGCCACCTAGGGCTATGCTCTATTTTTTCGCACGAGCACAGAATACAGGACGACCAATGTACACTTTTTAAACTATTTTGATATTGGAGAGATGGAAAAGTCTGTATCCTGAAACTAAGTGTTCTAGCCTCGTATTTTCACTATTTCATCGTAATAAAGGCGGCAATAGAAAATGTAACAGTGAAGGCTCGCATTGGGTCGGGCTTTGTAAATTGTAAAGGTGAACGCTTGTGTCGCATGGTAGCCTCAGCTGATCAGTGCTGAAATTCCCATATGCAACCTTCAATAGCCTCGTATTAGCCTCGCTAGAACAACTATCATGGCTGCACGCCAAATTTTGAGACGCGATACAATGGCGGCAAAGACGCCCTCCAGCTCTCTCCGACATGTTTGGTTACGTCGGCCCATCCAATACGATATCGCCACAAGCATCCAGAACCATGTGGCGGCCCAACATTTAGACTACAAGGCATCACTGTCTTCCTCGGCGCCTCTCCAAAACCCATCCCAACCACCATTACCGACTATCCTCACTTTTACCACCTCACCCGTCTATACACTCGGCCGTAGAGACTCACTTGCATCGCTGCCCAAATCAACCGTCGAAGCTCTCATATCGCCAATGCCAGGAATACCTGGAGATAAGCGAAGATCTAATACATGCCGAGCCTTCATCCACGAAGCACAGCGTGGTGGCCAGACTACCTTCCACGGACCGGGTCAGCTCTTAATCTGGCCTATAATTGATCTCAAGGCGGCGTGGCCTGGATGTGGACCAATGGATGTGCGGAGCTACGTACGCCTGCTAGAGAACTGCACAATTCGCAGTTTGTCTCATTTCGGCTGCCAGAGCAGACAGACCAGACATCCAGGTATCTGGGAATGTACGGGTCAAAAGAAGATTGCCGCCCTCGGCGTTCATCTCCGCCGCAATATCAGTAGCTATGGCGTCGCATGTAACTTAAGTACGGATCTCCGATTTTATGACCGAATCGTGGCATGTGGCCTCAAGGGTAAAGGAACTACGAGCGTGAATGAAGTAACAGGCAAAAATATAGATCCGGCCAAGTTTGCCAACGTATGGGTCTCTCAAATGGCCAGCCTACTGTATGGACAGTGCCTTGACTCTGCATCAACACCTGCAGAGCCGCGGGTACAGAATAGCGACGTGGAAGAGCTGGGCCTCCCGCCTGAGATAACGCGAATGATCTGGTATATGAATGTGCCCCGGTCTGTAGTTAAATGGACGCGGAAGATTAAAAAAGTTGACCTCAGCGATATGAACATAAGATCAGAGATGCCGGTAAAATGCGAAAAAAATGACAGTGGGAACGAGCTGTTGAAAGACCTGCTTGAAATGAACGATCAGAATGAAGCCATATCTCGCCCAAGCTTTCGTAAATGCGCTGGTATTGGACGTTGGAGCCCACCTATCGGTCCGAAAGGCTCCCTGTCGGTAGTACGAAAAATTATTCGTTGAGTGCCTCTTGCAAGCCTACTCTGGCGTGAGATGATCTTGACGGCACGCATAGTAATAATAGTAATGACAAGTCAGTCTAAGAGTAAGCCACCATCGTCTGCGAAGATCAACAGTGTCGATCTTTGGGGAGGGGGGAATGTTTACCCTACTTAGCCCGCGGGTTATTTGTGCAGTCAGTCGTCCGAGGCAGACTGCATGTTCTATTCTACCAGACTCCAACCAGCTCCATGGGAGAATTGGGAAGTCTGTCTCCTGTTGAGCCATCCCGACCAACAAGCCAATGCCTCGTGAGCTTGTCCACGTTGCGCTCTGTTTGTGCTGAGCTCAGGTGGCCAGCGCCGTACTGCAGCCTCCAACTTTTGCCGGTGTACCCTGCTAAGCCCTGCCATGCGCAACGCACGCAATCGTGATGGGCCCTGGCGCCTGTCCCCTGAAATACTATTGCGTATGTTGCTCATCGACCTGACACCTAGTCAAATCCCTCGCCCACCTGACCCTTCTCTCCTTTGGCCCGAGGAAGCCTCTCAGACCCTAGGTGGTCGTCGTCTTGCTTGGCGTTTGGGCCTACCATTAACGCAGCTCCACGGCACGGTGGCGGGGAAGACCAGCCACCCAGCTAACCCTCTACCCTACAACTCTTGTGACTCCATGCAAGGATAATGGGAACCCCTGCCAACAAGCGACTTTTCCACTGGAAAATTCTCGATTATGATTGGAAATGACTCGGTATGCCTGCCGGATGCCTATAGAATCCATGCATTTCATTAACTGTGAACACGTGACTGGGCCGGGCACGTCCGGATACTAACGGCTGAAACATATCGAAGTTTGTTGACCCCAAGTCTATAAGCTCCACGCGCTCCTGCACACATAGCTAGCTGCTGCTCGGAACATAGAGCAGGAGATTCGACCCACCAAATGATCTCGGACGGTTAAGGCCATTTTGCTGCGGCCTGTGCGTCTGAGGGAGTGCCAAAACTGCCTCTGTTTTCTCACATGCCAAAGCCCCACAATGTACCTTCTTTTGTCCGACTACTACCAGCTATCTTTGGCGTCCCTCAGCCACGATCGTACAGAAGCGGAATTGATCAAGATAATCCGCTGTCCTGACCCAAAATCCTTTCTGGATCATATCCTGATAATAAATGATGTAAAGTTTGAATACGCTACAGCCTGCCCCTAAAGAGTTGTGCCTGTTTTGTGTGATACCCAGTCAGGATACTAGAAGTTTTTATTGAAAAGCGATGATGACAATACTATTCAACGTCGGCGCAAGCTCTAATTTTTCTGTGTTGGGTGTGCAAGATAAGTCGCTGTCTATGTTATCGTCATAAAGTCCAGCAGATAACTAAATCAAGTGACATTCTAATCACTTTTTCCAGTTGATTAATGGATGGGCAGGCTAAGTTTGAATTTGAATTTGGAATCTTTTAGGTGACAGGAAAGACCTAACGTCTATTTAGACGTGACACGGATACAAGGGGTCTGAGAACTCAATGCTACCTACATGACCGGCGATAAAGCCAGAAGCGAAAAAAGAAATGAAAAAAAGTACAGTAAACGTCTGAGTTACGGTGCCCTGCGCCGCATCTCTATCTACATAACACAGCTCCTCTCGAGTCAAAAATAGTCTCAGGATGGGTACCTCCCACACTGTTCATTCTCTGGAAGACTATAGAAGGCTAAGTTTGAGTTTGGGTTTGATTAAATTCAAAGTCGTGCCTGTCCACAGCTCCTGACCTTTGTGATAAAAAGCCTGAAAAATAGGGCTTTCTTTGTATAATCGGAACAGTCATGTGATTTTGCAATAGTTTCAGAAGAATAAATAAATAGTGTGCAAAGTGAGATTAGTCTTATAGACTTTTTCCCAGAGATAAGGTCATCAAGTTTTATTTGAATTACATCTGTCTTGAATTGACAGTAACAGGAAACAATAGATCAGCTCTTTCGTTGGTTACGTTAATTACATCATTACTTCCCCTCATACTAATTACAGTCAAGGTTCTTCAAACCAAGCTGATGACAAATTGCGCTCGAGATCATCTCGTCTTGCTTTGTGTGAATGAAGCCTCGAGTTCCTAGATTTTTAGGAAACCAACATAGGCTTGACATGAGTGGCAAGTATAAAAAGGTCTCTTTGAACTCTGTTGTGATTCACATGATACAAACTTAATCTTGCGGTTGATTCGAATAACAAGTCCGGGTATACTCACCACACCGATTCTCATATCCCAATATCCACTGTCATTCCACACGTCCCAGTTATCCTGACAGTTGTTCAATTTTCTATTCATCATACACAAAGATCGATCTCTATGTTTTATTAGATAGCAATGATGCTATTGAATACTTGAGAGTTTTGCCCAAAAAACTTATCTCAACTTCTCAAGATATTTCTGGTTTTAGCTATACCTCAAGAAGGTCTAGCTTTATCCCAAGATAGCCACCTGGGGACTTTAACTGCAGGCTTTTTTCTGCACGAGCGAATGGTGGATCGGTAGCCCAGCTACAACAAGCTCGACAGATAATCAAGTAATTAATACTTGTTGTACTCATTTCATAGAATGAAAATTGGGACTCGGAGATTGGGCCTCAGTATTTGAAATCACCATGCTTCGATTTCATCCGAATCATTAGGTACAGCTTCTCCTCCACACTGTAGAGGCTTCATCTGCGTCGGGTACCCATTGTTCAGGTTGAAAATTGACATTATTATAGTGTGCAGCGTTGTAATGACTATTTTTAAATGTTGGAGATTGGAACGCGACATGCCCACCTTCTTTCCGATCACAGGCGGCGGCCCATTCATACTTACTAGGACGAAAGCTAGACATAGAGCTCCGTGATGGTAATTTTGGGGAGAATGGAAAAGTTGGTGAGGTGTAGGAAGAAGAGTTATCTGCGCTAAGGGGTACTTGTGGTGGTAGAGGTGTCGTAATAGGCGAATGAAGAGTTGGAGGCGTCGTTAATGGTAGTTGCATCGGATAGGAAGGAAATTCAACAGAAAACTGCTGTGTTGAGGGATCCGGAGATAGTGGGGAAATACCAACTGGTACATTGTTGTATGTACGTTCGGGTGGACTAGGGTATGTATTTAAGTGACGACACTGGAGCTCAGACGGCATTGAAAATCCTGGTAAGCAAGAGAGAAGCGAAGTGTCTAATGAAGTATCCTCGATTGGACTAGATATAACGTTTTGGGCCACATGCTGTTGAGTAAAAGCACGATTTGCTTGTATATCGGTAACATGTGTTGGAGTAGTAAGAAGAGCTGATGGCACTGATTGTTCACGATAAAGAATATCGTAATGACTCGGCCGAAATAGGAGATGAATGACAGGACCTTCAGGGTTGGTAGGGACGCCCGCAGGGTCTTCCGGTTGGAACAAATGAGTGTTAGCTTGGGTGCCGGGAGTTCGATCAAGATACACGATCTCGACCGCAATACCGATCGGCTTCAGGAGAACATCGATAAGGAGACACATAATTAAATGCTCGATCTCCAAATTTACAGGTTCAATATAATTCTTCCGATAAGCATCGACACCGTTCCCATCTAGGATAAAGCCCTCATACATGGCCGGGTTAGCTTTGAGCCAAGAACTGGTTAATAGTCGAAAGTGATATATAATAGAATTAGAAACCTCGTTGTTGTTGAAACGTTCCAATAAGATATTCTGTGCCTTTCGCATATCGAGTTCAACGTAATCTGCAAGATCCCTCAGCAAATTGGTGGTCTCCATTGCCATATCCTCAAATAGCCAGCTTTCAAAACCTCCCGAAGTTATGAGTAAGTTATTTAGCGAGCTCATTCGAGCTATCTCAGCTTCAAGACGAGCTTTATTTTGCAATCGTAAGAGTGTCTCAAAGTAGGCAAATCCGAGGGCTGTATAAATATATGGGTTAGCGCTCGTATATACATCGGATGAGAAAGCACATTAAGCAATCTGAACTAACCTCGCCATCCACAATTGCCGTCACCAAGTATCGGACGGTAATGAGAGTACATCTGTGGGAGAACCTTTATATTGATGTCAGATAAAGTAATAGCGGAGGTGCGTTATATTACTGACGGCGGTTTTTGCAACGTATACTGGATCAGCCTTTGCATACTCTTCAGTAATGACATGACTGCTTTTTTTTTGACCGACAAGTGGGCCCTGGGCGCCTGTCAGTATTTTTTCTTACTTTGCGCAAAGACTACATCTAAGCATACTTCCAGTGATGGTAAAAAGTCCATAGCTAGGGCCGCTTGGGCTTCTAAATCGCTGATAGTCATTTGATATCCGAGTAGACTGTATCCCTGGTGGTCGTAGTTGTCGTAGGTGTTGTAGCTATTGGAATTGTAGTGAATGGAATAGTCGGTGAAGTTGGGGTAGTTACTGTGCGAAGCGATAACTGAGCCTCTAGTGTCGGGGATCAGTTGGGCCGAGGATGGTTTATTAAATTCTGCGGCATCCGACCACGCGGCCGCGACAGAACAGGGTGAAACTAAAGTCTGAAATGCCCACGATTGAGACATTTCTTCAAGATAACTTAGACACGCTAGATGGAGGAAGTGAGGACGTATTAGAAACGTGTGTAGGACCCGTTGAATGGACAGAACTAATGAGACAAACAATGCCTCCTCCTCTCGTACAGCACTATATATCAGAGAAAGACGGGTCAAGAGAAAAAAGGGGAATTTGAACATGATGCAGGTCTATAGAATTTATCATGGCTGCAATGTGGTTTGTATGTGTGTCAAGCATTGCATCGCCAGGCTAGATATTAGAAAACTGATCAAACTGTAGGCCCGTCTCCTGCTCTAATTCTAAATCCTCATGCTCGCAGAACCTTAACGCGGGACTAAAGTGACACCCACAAGACAACATCATCCAGTAAGTTTGGCTTAATTGAGCCGAAGAACACTATTTCGAGATCTTCATGGTCATCCTTCCTGGTAGAATAGCAGTTGCTGTTAAAGTCTCCATCTTCAAGCAGCGGCCCGGGCTATTCAATGTGTGGACGATTGCAAGTGAGGGGTGTTGGTGCCCCTGCCACATGGAAAAAATCCACAAAATACTTTATCCTACGCGTTTATTAGCGCCTATGGCGTCTACGGGGCGACCCACACGTTTAAGTTCGAATCTCGCCTACGACGACAGCAAGCTCCCGTCAAGAAACTCCGGCCCTGGGAACCTGACGAACCTCCCATATTCCCCCGCTCCCTTCCCTGAAGATGCGGCCAACAATCCAATCGAGCCCTGTTAGCAACTACGGCTCATGTCTCAACTGGTCTGGGCAAGGGAAGTTTAAGCGGCTCGTTGCGGGGAAGCCGTTAAAGAGAGGAAATTTTAACTAGTCCCCCAGTTCCGTTACGCGGTTTGCCGGCCTTACTTGCCCCTCGTGTTTTGTTTTTAGGAACATGACGCGTGCGGTTTTTACAAGCATGGACGAAAATATTGTTAAGTGATGGAATCCTACAACCCGCCTGCCCTGCACAAAAAGCTGTCAAGAATCAGATCATTGCCATAAGAACTATCCATTTAACCTCCATGGATTGGAATTTTATCCAATTCTCCAATACCATGGTTCATCACGTAACACTCAAGGGATTGCGTTGAAAAATGTTTGGTCAGCCTAAGTCCCCCTCTTCAGCATGCAACCAAAATGTTACCTGGCCACAGCTTCTCGAGCCACCTATTGGAGCTTCCAGCTTTGCCGTGTTTGTTACATTGATTATTGTGAGGGTAAAGCTAGTTTGCAGATTTAGAAGTTTAATACGTGTCTTTTAGTCTTGGAACCAAATTACCCAGTCGACTCTAATCATACCACGCAGATAATCTCCAACTCGTGTGATGATGGCCATGTTAGAAATTTGATCCCGAGAAGTTGAATGAACTAGGTGGTGATCCCTGTCATCATCTCCTATCCTTGCATACGTGTACCGTCGGCATTCTTATCTGACAACACATATTTTCACCAGCTAGTCACTGTTTCGTTTAAACCGTGTGAACTAAGCCTGCAATTTTCATTCTGCATCTTGGTTCTAAGCTTATTTTCCATTTCCACGCCTCTTGTTGTCTCCTATGTACACAGAGTTTCCTCCTGCATTTCGCCTGGATCCTGATGGCTCGTGAGAAATCGATTCTTCAATTAGTGGAACTTCAGAAGCTCGGAAACCCTCGCTCTCCGAAAACACTGTATGATATAGAGATTCAATAGCCAAACCCCATTCAAGCATTCCTCGGAGTCGCCCATCATCATAGTTGTCGTCAAGTTGCACTGTGCCTTCTTTTTGATCAATTTTGCCAAGGACCTGCTTTTCGACAATGAGATGGCTGAGAATGTGTTGAACCTCAGACACCGGGATTTGGAGCATTTTACTGATGAATAACAGATGAAAACGTGTGTATGGCGCGATTAGACGAAGAATTGCTTTGGTCCGTATGTTTCGCGTAACTTCATCAATATTTTCAGCGATAAAGGAATCTGTCAGTAGGTCTGGATTATTATTCAAAACTGTTTGGTATCGGTGAATATCATCCTTCTGGTAGGAATCAACTAAATCTGTCATTACAGCAATTCGTGAGTCGTTCTTGTAGGGCTTGGTTTCTTGAGATTCAAATGGGTTGATATCAGACTTCATAAGCATAGTGGTGAGAACCAAATATTTAAGTACTTGAATACGTTGTAAAGAGCCTGCTTCATCGTAGTTACGAAATGATTCGAAAAAGTCAATTTGTGCATTTTTCCAATTTTCTTCGCTCATGTGCATCTTACCACCACATTCGCGAATAATACCCATTATTTTAGGATGTGGAACAGCAGATTTGACTTGTAGCGCCCTTTCATAAAGTCTCTTTAATTGTTTATTGCTCTTCATTTCTGCATACATTTGAATTTCGAGAGCGTATATTTCCAGCGAATACGTTCCTTTGCTCGGGTCATCTGTTCCATCCTCCCTCTCGCACGATTTGTGTAATTCTTTTACTTTATTCTTTACCATAACGTAGTCTTTGCGATCTAAGAATAGCTTTGCAAGCTTTATGCTGTTTTTGAGCCATAGTCGTTCGTTGTTTGTACTCTGAAACGAATGTAGAGTCTGTGAATAAAAGTTTTCCATGCATTTGACTGCTTCATCTTTGACGGACTCTTTTTCCATAAAGTCAAGAATGTTGTTAATAGACTTCTCAGAATAATTTCTGGTTACAGCGCTTTTGACGTAGGTTAGTAGTTCAGCATAGTGCTCAGATGCCTACTCATTAGCCACCACTCAAAATCAAACTTTTATAGGCATACCTTATCGTAACGTCCTAGCATGAATTCTAACTTAATAGCTTGTTTAAGGCTTTTAAAGCCCCAATCCCCTTTTTCATTCCCTAGTGCGGGTATTTCCAGGAACTCCTTCAGAGCTGCATCAGGATCAGAAGCTTTGATCTGCTTTGCATTATAGTATTTATTCTCGATATCAACATCTTCATCATCTTCTTCATCGTCCTCATACTCAAAGTCATACCTAAAATTGTCAGCCACATGGCAAAAGGCTTCTTTAGCTACACTAACCCTTCATCTGAATCTTGCATAAAGTCATTGTCGTCTGACATTATTAGGAAAATCCGATAAAAGCTAGAATAGTATGATAAGAGCCAGACTAATTCTTATCATTACATCTACAAACTGAAAGCTTTCGCAAGTTAGGAGACTGACAGTTGCAAGGTTGCTGGTTGTAATGTCCCACAAATCTCAGCACAGACCATTACCTATGTGGCTATTGCTAACAATTTCCTGACTACTATCTCTCATCGGCATACTCTATGATAATTTATTTAGCATAAATTTAGACGCACTACAAAATAATACTCTTCAGTTAAAGCATCTGAAGTAGTCTTTGGGTTATTCTCACTTTTCCTAGTATCGTCAACATGGGTGGTGATCTAAACTTGAAAAAATCATGGCATCCTGTCTTAATGAGCAATCAGAAACGAGTGTGGGAAGAGGAGAAAAAAGCGTTAGATGAGCGTAAGCGTACAGAACAAAGAATCAAGGAGTTAAAAGAAGAGCGTGCTAAGGAAGAGATTCAAACCAAGCTGGAAGCAGCTGGCAGCCGAAAACGAATTGATCGTGTCGATTGGATGTATCAAGGACCTTCTACTGGCCAGACAGGAACGACAGAAGAGATGGAAGGATATCTTCTCGGTAAACGGCGAATTGATGGCTTAATAAAGGGTAATGACAACAGAAACCTAGAAAAGCGAGCCTCTCAAGAAAGCTACATGAATTCAAACCCTGCAAACACAGCACGAGATACGGCCACAAAAGTTAGGGAGGATCCATTGTTAGCAATCAAAAGACAGGAGCAAGCTGCTTATGAAACAATGATAAATGATCCAACAAAGCGTCGACAATTACTCGCACTTGCAGGTCAAGCTGAGGAAAATTATAAGGAAAGGTTTGCCTCCGAAAAGAGATCTGAAAGACATTCCCATCCCAAAAACACCTACAATGAAGACTACCAGAAGGGCACCAGACATAGGCGGAGAGATGACCATAGTGGCCATAGAAATACACAAGACTATTACTCTTCAGATAAACAACGAAGGGTGAGTCAAAATAAAGATCAAGATACGAAGAAGACTCATCACACGACAAAACATGTCAGAAATTCACATTCTAGAACCTATGATTCAAGAAGTCACGACCCTCACAAAAACTACCGAAGATCTACTTCACCGGATAATAGTTATCGACCCAGGTCAAGCGTTAAAACCGAGAATAGTGTAAAAAGAAAACGGTCTCCCAACGATGGACAAGATTCCCTAAGGGGACGGGATTCCCAGGCAAATCAATATGGCAGACGAAATTATCAAGATAATCGGGAAAAATATCGTCAATCCAATAATCAAAAAATAAAGAGAGGCAAATCAGAGGAACGGCCTACATCTCCTCGCTCAACTATAGATGGGGAAGCACAACGACGACAAAAATTAGCGCAAATGCAGCAGGATGCATCGAAACTTGATGCAGATCGAGAAAAAAGGCTATCTGCTCTTGCAGAGCAAGAGAAGACCCAACGTGATGTAGAGGAAAAAGCACGAGCAAGAACATCACGTTATGGCGATAAAGGGGACTTCGTCAATGGTCTCAACCAGAAAGCAAACAGCATGAGCTTAGCTGAAAGAATCGGCCGAAGTAGGCGAGGGCTTTTACGAGAGGATGATTGATAAGCTCTCAAAGCTTGTCCTAAGACCTTCAAACTCTGATAGCATAATGCGAGAGAATGAAACATGAGAGCGAATCCGGCAAAGGTTTCCTTGAAGAACCTTTACATAGTCCATTGATGATTTTGTACAAGCATGAGTAAGAGAATAAATCTTGTACATACCGTTAGGCTCAATCATGAAAGACGTTCTCACAAAGTCTTCCTTTTAATCTTTGTGCAATTTTCTAATAATCTACACCAAGCGCAAGTCTTGTCTTGGCTTTTTAGGGTTATGCCCATAGCTATTGAAAAGCTATGATAAGCTGGAATGACATACTGTTAGGATGAAGGAATATAAGGAGGTAGCCATGGCTTTAAGAAAAGTGAAGTTCGTGAGTTATACTCTTAGGACTTGGGTCAGTGGATGAACTTGAGGTTTTCCCTAGTACTCTCAAGTATGTGAATAATGTGGAGATTGTTTGAATTTCCTATTGTATGAATTGCTTATATTATCTACATGACAGGACCTTCCTCTATATACATGAATAAGGGAGTTTCTGCATACTAGTGGATGTTCCAACATATCTCCTTGTCTAACCAACAAAGGAGGGACGTGAGAAATCCTTGCGCCAATAGATACCACTAGAAATCTATTGGGAAATATTTCGTCATGCCAATGAGTGATGATTTAGCTCAATCATATCTCACATCTCATTGCGCATATGCACATTATTCTAATGTGAACGGTTTATCGTAATGCAGACATTTTACTCCCTTAACTACAACAAGAGCTTCATATAGTTCGAAAAATAGCGAGCAGATTGTCAAAGTTTACGTTAATAAACTTTCAACCCTCAATCGACATAGCAATTCTATTCTAATTTCTTCTCTAATACTTATAAAGACAGAAGTTTCGATAAATAGGCTAGCTGTTTCGTCACCGGAAGCTTTGAGTGACTCGGATACAAATAATGATAAGGTAGTGATTTGGTTCTAGGCTTACAGCGAACATGGCAATGCTAAATTGCTCAAATCTTTCGGGATGCTAAGAGTTATATATTTCGATATAAATGCAGGGGTTCAGCTTACGAAATTCAAAATTATCGCCTGGACCTTGCCGACTATCAGTTCCCACGAATGAAGGTCTTACCTATTATCTCCATTCATAATACCATAATAATAGCCAAAAATCTTACTCCATATCACCGGTTCATTGAAATCATACCGGGCTTCGTTGTATAGAAACTTGATGCCTAGCTCGAGCTACTTTTTCTCGGAATGAAGATCAAAATCAGATAGCATGAGTACCAAGCTTCGCAGCCTTATAGGGTTTCGTTGTGGCCACGAGCCTCAATCTATATTTTTGTGTTTCTCAAGAGCCCACATTAGCTGGAACAATTAATCAAAGCATATTGAAAATTCTACAATTATTTGGTACAAAATTAGTAATGAGGTATCTTAGATTATTCCTCGGACACTGAGTAAATAGAATTTGGGTTTAAACAAGAGGGCTACAGTCTATCAAACATTGAGTCGAACGAATTTAAATCACAAATTCCTATCGACCCCTATTCTTTCAGATTCAATGAACCAACATGGTAGGATTGCCATTGTTGTTATCACTTAATTATGTATATGTAGTTTAGCTGTAACATATTGTAGAGTATATGCCTGTTATGCCTTAGGCAGTAGTATCTGTAATTCAGTCTACCAACAAGGACCTAATCATTAGGGATTGGGTCAAGTAATAATCAACCATCGTTTTCACCTAGTCCAACTATTCAGATCTGAATAATTAACCCAACAGCCATCATCTAGATCTAATTAATATCAATTCCAATAGTCCGATTAGAGGCACTACAGTCCATGCATGTATCTCGAAAATTTATATCCACGTAAAAAAACATAAATGGTACGAGCATTCTGTTGTTAGATGGGTAGCATATCATGTACGCAATTACTTGATGTACAGAAAAATGTCTATGTAAAGATGGTTTAGTATAATCAACGTGATTTTGTATTTGATTTGAAATTAATTTAGTGGTCCTGACTTGGTGCCATATGTGTTGAGGGCTAAGAATAACCATCGAAGAAGTTGGATAGGGAAATGTCTCTGGTCAAAAGCATTGACTATCCATACGTACGTAGATTATCTGCTTTGGTCAGTGCTCGTATTCTGTACTATGAGCAGTAGGTTATCTGTTTCTAGCGCATGTCTTTAATTAGGGTTCAAGAGATCAAGTCAATCATGATAAGTGTATATTGTCCTAGAATCCCAGGAGAAATAGGAATAAAGCGGTTTTTACTGAGCTTTCTTTTTCTTTAATTACAAATACACTTTGCCCATCTCAGGTAAGGCTCTCAGTTATCTGACACTGTGGTGCCATGAAAGTGCCAATGAACTTTAATATTTACATGGTAGAAAATATTTGAAAGCCCCCCAACCTTTCTGTTAGTTATCGTTGGCTCTCATACTTGTTTCTCGGGAAGCAATATTACACAAATGGTATTGTTATGTGCCTGGATCTACTAATCAGATATCAGCAATGCAAAACTAGAGAGAGGCGAGATGAGAGATGTATTTATTGCATTACTTGAGTCTTAGACTATCTAGCACATTGGGCTCCTCTCTGGCCCAGGCCATACCTTGTACAGTGCTCCTTGCCTCTCATGTTTCTTGAGAGATCATTGATACATTGCCCGTGATGAATAGCCATTCAGCTCAGTATTTACCGGTGGAATTCAGACACATTTTCCAAGGGACCTTCTACTTGGAAAAATAAAAATGGTAGCAATGGAAACTGCGTGCGCGAGAAAAAGTCTCAAAAACAAGCAGCCCCAGCCAGGCGAGGCCTAGACGCCGGGACCACATGAGGTGCGCATATTCATCTATATCTCCCTCCTATGTAACATTCGAGACCAACTTGATCCAATCCACCATCTCCGTATCGAGTGCTGGGTACGCTCCGGAAACTCATCGGATGGCTTCTCCTCCATGATCAAGGGTAGACGATGAGTAGGGCTCCGACCCTACCATCTGATCTGATCGTAGTTAGCTTCATGATATGGTGATAGGGAAATATGTACAGAAATGAAGACGATATAGACGGCGAAAGCGATTAGAAATCCTCGTCGAAGTGAGGACTTTGTTACTCAATCTCGGCTTTGCAGACTCTACAGTGAGATATGGAGGTTCGTAGGGGACACCACTGACAAGTGTTGAGGATAGTCCCCCTATGCACAACTAGAGTTAAGTGGAATAATTTAGAATATTCCATCTCATATGATTGAAGTTTCTCGCATCATGAATGTTAAACAGCTAATTGTATATAAATAAGGAACAAATAATTTTTGGATGGTTGAATTGAATTGATCTTGTTTAACGTCCTATGCGGTATCTATATATAGAACCATGAACACGGTAAGCCGCTTTGGTGTGGGAAAAAGCTTTCAACAAACAAAACCCGATGTCCTTCCACTTTGAATCGACTCGGCTTAATGCTGAGGACGTTCCTTTCAACCACAAATTTATAAACTTTCCCCAGAATTCGTTAACCCCCATTCGATCAGACTAACTTTATGAGAAATTAGATAGAGAAGGTACCTCCTCACTCGGCGTTGGTCTTCTAAGTGTTCGAAGAGTTGGCCCCGATGGTGGTGCTGCTGTCGAGGCGATGGTTGGTGCTGCTGGGGCTTCGACTACGTTGCGTGGTCGTCCCGGCCCTCTTTTGAGTCCTTCAGCCTTCTTACTGGTGACCAAAGTGAATCCTTGATCATCAGTCGTTCCGACTGTTCGTATTGGCGCCATTGTTGGTTTTTCATTCCATATTTCCGCTGTTCTTGACAACAGCTCCATCCGAGCCTTCTCGACACTTCCCTTGTAGACCTGGTAGGTTCAACACGCTGCTTCTTGCCACGAACGGTGGTCCTTGCCGCAGTTCGCACAAGAAACCCTTTTCCTCAAACAGTCCCAAGTTTGGTGAGCGCCTGCGCACTCACCTCACCTAGCTGCCTTTCCACACGACGCTTGTGTGTGTCCACACTGGCTGCAGTTGTAACACTGCTTTGGCTGGGCCCGTGGTGACTACACCTGCGCGGTGAAGAGCATGGCATTAATTACAAGGCCCTTTCGAACTACCTCTATTTGCATTGCCTCTGATGGGAGGCTGACCACAATTGATCCTCGATTGCGACCGTTTTTCTTCGATCGCTGGTGCTCCTTTCCATCGTGTAGCCACCTGATTCGATTTATCGCAAGGCCCGGAATTTGAGCTTTAGTCGCTATCTCAGTCTCCCCGATAATAGCGTGGTTTTGGGCATCTCTGCCACCCTCAATTAGTGTCCTCAAAGGGACATCAGAAACCTCGAAGGGAAAGTCTTGCCGTAGAATCTTGAAATCTTGAAGTTGACGCATGTTGAGCGCCGCATCTCTCTGAGACATCGATCGGATAAATATTATAGTGTCATTGCTTCACATCTTGCGTACCACGAATGCGCCTTGAATATGTTGTTGTGCCTTTGTTAGCAGCTCTTGTGGCTGCAAGTTTTGTGCGCCGTCGATTCTTATTCTGACCGCCGTTTTCGCCATTTGCGGACCTACGACCGACGCGTAGGTCCTTTGAAGCGGCTTCCCTGACGGCGAAACAGGAGCTGCTTGTCGTGCGGCGTCCGCGATACTTTTCTTTACGACCTCCTCCAACGCTATCATCCTCTCCTCGATCGGAGGTGGGATCTGGGACATCGTTGTCCAAGCCTTCTTGTGATAATTGAATGCCTTGACGACTTCATTTACGCCTTCCATCGTTGGTAGGTCCTCCTCATCCATCTCTCCCATCACAATTAGTCTGACATTTTTTAATAGCTTCCCTATTATTTCCAAGTTAGGATTCTTTGGAGCTATCTGCGCTCCGCTGCCGTTGTTTGATGATGCCGTTGTCGCATTTTGCGACGCGTCGAAGCCGCTGGATTTACCCACTCCAGCACCCACACTCGCCATGTTGGAGCACGGAAAGCGAAAAGATC